TAGAAACAAAGTGTAAAATCTTCGATCTCTCGGAAATATCGATGGGTTTAGAGAGATCGAAATAGTCATCGAGGCCTCGAAACTCAACATTAGATAGGCGACTGACCTCGAGCCCTCGAATATTCCGGTCGGTTTCGATGGTTCGAAAAACTGTAGAGGGTTGGAAATTTAAGTTTCGATGGGCTAGTCATTTCGAGGGATTGGAATTCCGATGGGGCGTGTCCCCTCGAAAAATATTTCGATCCCTCGGGTAGGGATATTCGGGAACTTAAGATCCCTCGCCGTACCTATCGAATGAGTTATTTTATCTGCTTGGGCATTGTCTGATAAAGTTACTTTCCATATTCCAAACCGAAGATTTTTAAATTATCGAATGATGTCCATTTTTTCTTTTTATACTTTTGAATTTCGTTTTTTGTAACACTCTCTGTCGCACCAACTGGTGTGTAATAATCGGTTAAACTTTTTTTATTAGATGGAATCTGTAATACTGATTTTGAGAATTTTGCAAAATGATATGCATCAGTCCATTTTTAAGTATAATTGTTGGTTCTGTTGAAAACAGAACTGGATCCGTTTGATCTTGATTGCGAGACATGGACCATTTATGTACAATATCATTTGCAATTGTAAGAAATCTTGATAATGTATGTCGTTCTCTAAATGTATGTTTATCTTTGATGACCTTATTTGTTGCTTCTAATGAATTGTTAGTGCTTGATGTAAAGGTACTGTACTCTTCATACCATGAATCAAGAGTTCTTAACCATTCGTATTCGAAATATTCTGTAAATTCTTTTTTCCACTTTGGTCCATTTCTTTAAGAATAAGGATGATACATTTCGAAACACAGCTTGTGATTCACATAACTGTAATTTGTCGATATCATCTAGTATATCATTTTTTATTGCGTCACCAATTTTCAAACTCTTTAATTTTTTCTCAACATTTCGACGCATATGAAACCAGCACATTACCATTTTATCATTGTTAAATATTTTCATAAATCCATTACGTATAGCACCAGACGAATCAGCTATAAGAACTTCAGGTGTAAAATTTAATTCTGTTACTCGTTCAACACCATCAGAAATGCTTTTAAAGATAAATTCGAAGTCCTACTGCTTTTCATCACTACAGACTGCTAAACCAAATAGGTGAAACTTTCGATCAAAAGCACTGGTACTGGCTACCAAAACAGGATACCCTTGATAAATCAGTTTGTAGGTGGCATCAGCATGTAAATTTGTCGAAATCGAAGCAATTCGAATCAATTTTTTTGTTGATAAAAAAATCTAAATTTGTTGCTGTCATCTACGACATCTTCATCATCGTCAGTATGTGAGGTGCTACTCACTCACTTCTCATCTCTATTTGCATAAAGTGAACGGCTATATATAGTACAAGAAAGAAGCAACAGTTGTGCAAGAGTTGCGCAGGAGTTACGCAAGAACAGAAAGAGTTTGGAAAACAACTGCAAAACAGAAAAGAAAGGATGAAACAAGTGTTGTGCGAGAACACCATGAGTCACGAACGAAATGAACAGAAAGAAAGGAAAAGAAGAAGAGAACATAGTCTTATGAGCTGCCAGGAATGGCAGATCATAACACAGTATCATCTTCATAACGAATGTAAAAGGAAACGACAAATGTTTCATCATCAGATTGTGGTATTGTTGATCTTTCTTAACACCAAAATTCTAATTCTCCTAAACTTAAAGTGGTAGGACCAAACTTTTGCTTACGTAATTGTGTTAAATAATTGTTTCTGATCTTACTTTAGATACTGGAACACAAGCAATGTCGAGTCGTTTTGAACTTCTTCCAAACGAAACAATCATGGATATGTATGAATATCTAGATATTTTTGACATTATGCATTCATTTTCCAATCTTAATTCGCGATTCAACTCGCTTATAAATGATAGTCGTATTTACGTATCACTTGACTTATCATCGGCAATAAACGATATACGATTTGACATTGTAAGTCGTGAAATTCTACCTCAAATATCTCATCGTCTAATATCATTAATTATTGCTGAAAAGTCACGTATCCTTGCATTCAGTTTGATGTGTAATAATTCATCATTTCATTCGTTGCAAATATTATCGTTGATCGATATTGAAAAAAGTAATAATCTAAAAACTATACTAGAAAAACTACCGTTACTATTATGTTTATCTATTAAAACAAATAAAATTGATAATGAAATAACAATTAGTGAGATATGCTCAATGAGTTTAGCAAAATTAACATTAAAAAAATGTTTACTTAACTTTTGTAATCAGTGTATATTTAAAGATCTATTAATAACGTCGAACATTAAGCAATTAACAATTGGATGGTGTTCAATGTCAGAATTAATTGTTTTATTTCGTCATTTACCATATTTACGTATATTACACGTTCGTTATTTATTTAATTATGATTATTCAGTGACAGTATTAAATGATACAAATTTAGTTATAAAAGAATTAAACCTATTTCTTTATGGTGTACCGTATAACAACATCGAATTGTTATTGAGATGTATGCCACTACTAAAAATGTTAACAATCAGAGGACAATTGGATGATCTTACTTATACAGATAGTCAACAATGGGAAACAGTATTTTCATCTTCGTTATTATTATTGCGCGTGTTTAACGTAAATCTTTCAATTCTTACGGAAGAATCAGTTGTGAATAGGATTTTAGAAAACTTTCAAACAAATTTCTGGTTAGTGTTGTGGAATTTAACAATTGTATGTCGATTTAATAAGCGACTAATACTGTAGATGAATGGTATCAAAAATTCTAATTGAAATTGGCGATATACCTGAACCTTCAGAGCAAGATGGGAATAACACTCGTTGACACCAATTCTGAAAAATCTGCGAGCAGTCCGAATAAAAAGAATTTTAAGGTCTTTTTCTCTTAATTTCTTTCTAAAAAACAAACAGTTTGATGGTGAAAAACAATAAAAACTATAAAAAGTAAAATGGAAGAATCTCCAAGCAAATTACGCTCCTCGATGAAACTACCCGCGGTTCCTTTGCAAAGCACGTTTAATCGTGTACTTCAAAAACATTTCAGCTTCACTTCTTTCAATCTACCGATGTCAACTTTTTTTAACGATTTCTGAAAAAATGCGCGTTTTTTGGCACTTTTCTGGTCACATTAACGCAACACCAGAAAACGCTGTGTTCTCATATGCGTTTTCTTACGCCATATTTTTATCCTGTAAAAATAAACAAGACAACGATGGCTTTTTGTCTTTTATCACCGAATCTTTTTCTTGCTTTAAAATGCATGTGTTTTTTCAATAAAATTTTCGCAAAAATGTTTTTCGTTTAACAGAAAGACGATAACTAATTGCGGTGACTCATCGAAACTAGTGTATAATTCGAAAAAGCGGTCTATTGATATAAATAGATCTTATCCACTGAAAATTTACTTAGAGATTTCTCTGATAGACGCTACTTAGCTTGGAGAAGACCGGGGTAGCAGGTCTGAGGGTGAGCCACGAGGCTTTGCCTGTGGGCAGGTCAGATCAGCCTGTCCGGCCATTGTATGAGAAACACATAAAGCTTTACTGCTGTTATCACAGACCATAATATTTTATGCGTATAAAAGATGATATTTTCTTGCGTTTTATCGCAAAATTTTTTGTTTCTGCCGAAACACAAAAAAAATTCATGTGCGTTACGTTACATGAGACACGAAAATTATACAACAGGTTTTTGCAAAACAACAGACCTGAATTTTTGTAGTTTTCGGAAATCCGCAATTATCGGAACTAAGATAGTCTATTTTCTATCTTATAGGGCTTATCTTATTTCTTTTCAATGAACATCTTACAGACAAATAAAGAACAATTTAAGCTTTTCCTTTGTAACTGAACTTTTACCCGAATATTTAGAAGAATAATTTTCTTTTCATCGGTTTTCGACATTCACGCACGCTACATACAATAAACCTTTTTTCTGATAGCTTACGAGGAGACATATCCAACTATTCGACGCCGATCGAGCTCATATGTTGCCCATAAGTAGGGCTCGATGAAACTAATAGAAGCCTAAAAGGATTCATCCCCATGCACTCTGTCCTTCCTGAATTATGACCGTTTCACTGGATTTTCGACCTCTGGCAAGATGTTTAGGGAAACATTGAATGACGGAATTTTCATCTGAAATTGTTCCCGCGGATAGGTTTCATGGGCATTAAGATGTCCTAAAAGTTTCAGCCACAAAGAATGTTTTCTTCTCGAGATATTTTCTTATTATAATATTCTTATTATCTTTATTTTACTTTCTCAAGACACTCGATTTTCTGACCTTCTTCTGTAAGGTGTGATCGTTTTTTGGATATTTAATATTTCGAGAAGAAAACATTCATTTTGGCTAAAACTTTTAGGATAGCCTAATGCCCATGAGACCTATTCGTGGGACGTCATTCAGTTTTTTCCTAAACACTTTGTCAAATGTCGAAAATCCAGTAAAACGGACATAATTCAGGAACGACAGAGCGCATGGCGACGAACTCTTTTAGGCTTCTGTTAGTATCATCGTGCCCTACTTATGGACAAAATATGAGCTCGATTGGTGTCGGACAGCTGGATATGTTCCCTCGCAAGTAGTAGTGAGTCACAAAAACTTTTTTGAACCTATTCGACTGGGCTAATTTAAGAGTTAGATCATTTTAAAAAAATAATTAGTGTACGACCGAAAAAATTTGAGATCATGCGTAAATAATGAAAAAATCTCTTCTCTTTTTCACTGAAAAAAATAAATGGTGTTGAAGGACGTACTTTGAAATAAATCTGTAGCATTATTAGCACATTAGTGGAAGCTAATAACAGTAGATTTAGAAAAACTACATACCCTAATTTCTTTACGTTGGATAGTGAGGAGTTAGGTGTCGACAATTAAGTACAAATAATTGTATTAACCCAAATATAGCGATATTAAAATTTTGGCAACGGTTACTATTTTCTGCAGCTGAATAATTCTATCACTAAACGTTGGTGCATCTTCATAATTTGAATCAGCAGTATTCAGTCTTGTGAATGATGTTAAAATAACGGACAGAAAGAGTCATCAACGGTATACAATATTTTCCCTTATGGTATAAAGGTTCATAAATAACCACTAATGTGGCATTACACTTTGTTTAATCTGATTATAAATATTTGCTTGAGAAAAGTGCGTTATGCAACAATGTGAGAGTGTTTTTTCTTCGTATGGTACATTAGTAAGAACGAATAGAGAAATAGAGTATTAATATGTTTGATTTTTGACTCACTAAGGAAACATCGTTGGGCAACTTATATATGAGTAATACAAAAGAAAAGCAAAGAAAACTACAGAACTTCTCATAAGTCATAATGTTTACAGGCATCTGTCAGAAAATTTAGTATCAGAGATGGGCGAGTACACGGATTTCTGAGTACGAGTAGGAGAACAAGTATTTTCTGAAAAGCACTCGAGTAGTACTCGAGTATTTTTTTTCGGGAGTAGCCGGTGAATTCGAAAAAATTTCCGAATAAAACAATTATTGATACGCAAATAGTAAAACAAAAGGTCACCAGTTCTTGGGAAGTACTCGAGTATCTTTTGAAATACTCTTTAAAAAAAAGTCCTGAGTACGAGTATGAGTACGAGTACTAGGAATTATGTACTTGAGTACGAGTATATACTCGTATTCGCCCATCTCTGTTTGGTATTCACTCTGTACTGAATCAAATTAGATGAAAATTGGGTGTGCAGAATCTCAGTGAATCCAACAGCGGGTTCATTTTTAGTTACAAGCATTTTCTAAGGCACCAAAAGCTCTCTTTCTTCTCTTCTTTTCATCTAAATCGATTTTTGTTCTAGTGGCATTGCGTAATTTCAAGATTTCTCCCCTATTTTACTTGCTGAAAATCTCAGGTTGGTCTTGAAATGTAGCCCACACTATCTTTTAGAGTATAACAAAGTCCGATTATCCATTTTCGTTTTCGTCGCTGAGGAATATAGAACATTGTCGGAAAGGTAGCGTGGTATTTCTTCACTTTGCGGAAAAGGTTTGTTTTCCTTAACCACGAAAATGAAAATGGATAATCGGATACTGTTATACTCTGAAAAATAGTGTTGGCTACATTTCAAGACCAACCTGAGATTTTTAGCACGTAAAACAGGGGAGAAATCTTGAAATTACGCAATGCTACAAGGATTTAGAGAAAAGGAAGAAGAAAAGAAAAGCAGAGTTTTTGGTGCTCTTAGAAAGTGCTTATAACTCTTGATTAAAATATGGCTCAGAGCACACCAACGTCTCATTTTAAAGAAAACACTTTTTTCTACACAAATGACTGTTTGAAAAATTCTGACTGGTCAACACACGTATGGACGATTTTTGCACATTGAACAATGTTGAATTAGGATCTCTAGTGGCCAATCTTAAACAATGCATAACTCCAAAAGGAAAGATGACAGTGAAAAATGAATCAATTTACAGCTTCAGACTGCTTAAAGAACCTACTGGAAAACCTACTTATTATACTTTAATTGTTTCCTTCATACAATCTATAAGATGACCAAAAGACCTACACGAATTAAGTAAATAAAATTTGAGATCAGATAAGTTATAAAACTCTAAAGCCTTTAGTACTCAACAAAACGCCATTGAATCATACTTTTGCTGAGTTCAAGAATATCTCATAGATTTTTTCTTTAGAAAAACCAACATATACCTCTTTAGAAGAAGTATATGTGCGAAACAGGTTTCCCTACGGAAAGCATTAAAATCTCCGAGCCCATTACGATGAAGACGACATGAATTTGGTCTTAAAAATGCTGTTCTAATACATCAATAGATCTCGATGAGATCTGCATAATAATGTGCGATTCAATCAGTTTTATCGCTACTGAAGGCTCCGTTTATGCTGAGAAAATGTTGCATTCAAGTTTCTTCAGCTTCAAAACACCAACTACTATGTGATAAGACTACCAGACATGCATGACTACTGTCTGTAAAAAAAAGCTGGCACGTGGCTAATTTTTAATACCTCAACAAAGGAAAGTGCTGGAGCGATGCGATTTTCACCATTTTGTAGAAAAGACTGTATGTTATTATTTAACTTATAGGAGCAAAAACTAAAGTTTTCTCAGGTGGTATATCCGAGGGGTTTTTAAAAGATTAGATCGTCGCTACCCAGTTTTCTCTAGCGGCACCTATGTTTTGCTGCTGAGCAATTCTGGGATAAAGTTCGATCGCATGGGACTTCCTAGAAACACTGATACGTGCTTAGAATGCATGAAATAGCAGCAACTGGTTTTTTCAATCATGTAAAAAAAGTGGAAGATGTCTTCAAAAAGGGAATGGCTTTGTAGAAACAATTGAAAGCACAACTGACGTCCAGAAAAATCGATGATGAAAAACAAATCTCTTTGATGGTGAAAGTTGATTTTTACCGCTTGCCGGGAAGAAAAAAGAGCTATCTTATCTTATTATGCGCAGATGCACTCTTCTCAGAAGACAGTTCAGTACTTTGAAAAATTCATAATTTTTCAAAATCTCAAAATTTTAATGCATTTAATTTTCTGACTCGTAATTAAAACTTTTCAACATAAAAAATTTGGTCTTATTCAGCTTTTACTGGTGATGTTACTGGGGAAAATTAGCTTATTATTGTTCAGTTATAGACAGAATACCATAATTAGTGTATTTTTTAATATCAGGGACCATTTTCAGATAAATTTTACTCCAAGAGAAGAATTGTTAAATTCTACTCCAAGTCAAAATTCTGAAGGGCGTTGGTATGAATTACTTTCACCAACACAAATCTCGATTGGAGAACAAAAGTCGGATGACAATAAGAAGCAGCAACAGAAGAAGAAAAAATGTCGAGGTAATCGTAAGGCACAACATTTGAGAAGACGAGAACGTCGAGATCAACAAATAATCAAAACTCATGGTACAATTTGTATCATACAAATGATGTAGATCAAGATATCATTACTATAGGTGAAGATAACGATGATCCAATGGAAGAAGATCTCGAACAAATTCAAGTAACTCATTAGTAAAAAAAGTAGTAGTTTTCTGTTTTATACTTTTTAATTATATTTAGGAATATTCATTGAGTACATGGTTTCTAACGATAAAAGCATAGCTCAAAAATCTCCATCACGGGATCGATGACCAGATTAGCATGGCGGTCCTATCAATATACAGTTGTGAGACGGTGACATCACCAAAAATAAGCAAAATGGCTGAAAATATAAAACAGATATCGATTTATAATTTTTATAAAAATATTCCTGTTTTCGATTTGTACGCATAGTTAATAACTGAGAATTTTACGAAAAAGGAAAACTGATGATTTTTGACATTCTCTAAAATCGAAATCATGAAATGAATATTGTTTTTAACGATAGCCAAAAATCATACTTTATAAAAAAATCTTAAATCAAAACCCGATTTTGTAGGTTCCGAGAAAATCGACTTTTGATTTTACAAAAATTTTGAGAATGAACGAAAAAGTGGTTTTAGAAATTTTATAAAATCCTCAACTATTAACTATGCGCACAAATCTAAATTCTCTTTTATTCATCAACATAATTTACAGTATAGGTCTAGAAAAAGCTAGAGAAATATAGTCAGCTTTATACTAACAAAAAGATTAATTCTAAATTCTTTCGTAGAATTCTGAGTGTTCGTGATGAATACAATGTGAGATTAGAGCTTCATTCGGTCGGATTCACTTACCCTATAGTCTGCTCGTCTGTTTTCTTAAGAAATACATATGCAGAGAATGAATCACGTATTTTTCGAATAATTATTGAAGTAGTGGAGCAAGTACATAATGCATTCTTTTGTCACAGCACAACAATTTGAGTATATTAATCGACTAAAAGCAAAAACTCCACCAAATGAAGCGTTAATCCAGTGTGACTTTGCCGAAAATTATACCGTGATAGTCCAGAACGAGATTCAAAGTAGCTATTGGTCCCAATCTCAAGCAGGTCTTCAAAACGGAAAACAAATTCAAAAACTGGATAATTATAGCTGACGAAAAAAGTCATAATACTTGTTTTGTACATTTCGCTCAAAAGCTGATTACGAATTACGTGAAATCTATTCTATTCCACCGCTCACAGGAAGGGCCCCTGTGATGGTCTAGGGCTTATATTGAAGTCGGCCGCCCATAAACATACAATTCAACCAAGTGGATCTGCGAACTCGTTTATTCATCCGAAAGATTTCACAATCAAAAGAGACAATTCAAAAGCTCCATTAACTCAATTGTTTTCCCTTTATAGTGGCAACGAATAGTCCAGCTTCGACGACTGAAATTCTCTACGCATCGACTGCTGATATTACTCAAAATTATGAGCAAGTATTACGAGATCGATGGAATCAACTTTCAGCCCACGTCTTGCGTCTTCTTCTTTGCAGTATGTCCCAAAGAAAAGTCCGGTAAGACATGCCGTAAAGAAGAAAAAAAACATAGAAAAAGGCAAATCAGTCGAACCTAAGACAAAGCATGTTAGTAGCTGAGGTCATTTTTCTTTAGGAACAATAAAAATCTTATCTAAACTTTAACTAACTATAAGAAAAATAAGAAAACGTGTATATTGACACATTAACTGGATCTGTTATTGATCTGTTGAACATATTTTAAAAAATTTTGTCTGCTTTTAGTTATTTCATCACTTTGAAGCGCTCGATCACAATGTAATTAGATGCAACACAACTTCTCTTTCTGATGACCATTCGGATTTGAAGATGCTTTCAACCAATGTTACAAAAACTTTGAAACGCTTACGCTCAGTCTCCGATGTGTACAATGAATATCATTATCTCTATTTGATAAAGAGGTACGAAATTGTTTAATGATATCTCTTCCATGATATAAACCTGTATGCACGATAAGTGACGACACTATGGCAAAACTCAAGGCAAAAGCAACAATAGCGGCAATACTGAGATGAGGAGAACCATAAACTCTATTGTACATTTCATAAGCAGTTACATTAAAACGACCTTGAGCATCAATTATTTGATTTATATCGTACAAATTTCCATTTAAATTAAAAAATTCTAGATAACTAATGGGCAATATTTTTGTATACCATAAATTTGAATAATAGACAATTGGTGCGACTATCCCGACACTTAAAACAAAACCAATAAACATATTAATTTGACACCATTTCGGTACGATAATTGGACTGTTCAAAAAACTGGTTAACGTATACCAGTCGAAGTCTAAAGTTCCAATGGCAAAGCCATTAGCACCAGTTAATTGAGATAGTACAAAATCATGCAAATCCAGGATAATCTTCTTAAAACAGGCATGATGAAACCAGGAAGCCAGTAATGAATGAATTGACATATAGAAGCAATGAGAAAAAATTTGAAACGACTAATGTCCCATCTTGAGTTGTAAGCTAAGTGTCCATCAACAGTCGATTTTTCGTGCAAGGTACGAAGAAGAATTATATAGGGAAATTTCGCCGGCCACATCATTGCTGAAGGCCATACTAAGAAACGACGCATTATACCAGGAATACTTAAACAAATTAATTGTATAGAAACTATAAAAATAATGGCAGCTATAGGATTCACAGATCTGTTGTAAAATATTCGTTGACTATCAATCGAATTAAGAGCAAACGATGAATAAATTGATGTAGCCATTAGAACTGTAAGTCCATGTTCTTTCATTGTAAATTGTCCAGGATTGAGTGAAAATGAATATCCAAAACATAGTTTAAACTGTTTTTTGGGCAATACAAATGCCAAAAATTTCCCTATTGGATATGATAACACAATTACGTGGAATGGAAGAATAGTAAATACATTCTTTTTGTAACGGAAATATGTATTTACAGCTGTTGTTATCAGTGTTAAAGATAAACCTATAAATCATGTGCGAAATGTTAAACATAAAATCTTAGGATCATCTTTATTCGATATAACTGCACCCACTTCTTCATATGACCATTGTTCAGCATCAATGTATGTTGAATGAACATCTGTTGATGATGTTTCTTCAATATGAGTTTGAGTACGTCGTTCATTCATGATAATAAAATCAAAAGTTTCTTTTAAATACAAACAGCGTTTGCGTCGTATGTAGGTTTTTTCCGATGAAGTTTGGATGGAGTCCAATGAAGGTTTTTTGTATAAGTTTTATTTATTGAATAGTTAAACATAGGACGTACAATCAATAGAGCAAAAAGAAGGAGGCGAACGCATTATATTTTTTGACCATTTGATTTATGTTGCTTTATGAACAAGAAAAAACCAAGCAGAATAAGGTAGAAAGAGACAGAAAACGTTGCCAGTGTTAACGATGTAGTAATATCTCATGATACTGTACGTATACCTATACCTTTTTTGACACATTAGTCATTAGTGATACTTCCTTTTTTTACCTTTGATTTCACAGCTATATTTGCAATGTTTCCATTTTCTCTCTTGTTTTTCTTTTGTTTTTGATTCAGTTGTCAGTGTTTATAGCGGGAGAAATTTGAGAAATGGGGGCCAGTATTAAGTCAAAATTAATGTCAAAAGAAAATGAATTACTACACTCAGAGATGCAAACAGTCCTTTCTAATAACCGACACGACGAAAACCAAGAGGATGTAACATTAATTTGGCTCGATACAATACAATCAGGATGTCAAACAATCACTACGCAAAATTAACGATTATGTTCTATTTTATTCGGATGAATCAGCATGCGTCGCTTATATTCGCTCAATTAAGAATGAACGAATCTTTTTGATCTTTTCTGGTTCAGAAGAATTGTTAGAAGCATTTTATTCATTGGAACAAATCGATTCCATATTTATCTTTTGTTCAAAAGAAGAGGCTAACTGTAAGAATTTAACTAATAATGATAATAATAACATCATTGGTACTTACAATGAACAATTAGAATTGATTTCAAATATAGAAAAACAAACTGTCTCTGTGAAAAACAATCGGCTGTCTTTGGTTTGTACAATCAACACGAGAAGAATACCCGTAATTTGACCAATGAATCTGGATCATTTGTCTTTTTCCAATTATTTAAAACAGTTATCTTACAAATGAAACAAACACCGGAAACACGTCAAGAAATGTTGAACAAAAGCCAAGCTTATTATCGTGACAACAGAAAACAATTAGTTAACGTCAAAGAATTCGAGGAGAATTACAAACCGAGTCAAGCTATTCAATGGTATACTCGCGACTCATTTGTCTATAGACTAGTAAATAAAGCACTTCGAACAGAAGATATTGAAGCGCTCCATAGCAGAATGGTTAGATATCACATTATAATACGATGGAGACATATTTCGTATAATTTATAATCATAGCACCTCAAACAATTTTGAAAAAGGAATAATTTAATATTTGAACAACCACACATTTAGATTTTATATCACTGATTTATGTACACAACTTCAGCAGCAATATAAACAACAATTAAGAAATCAAAAATTAAAACTATACTGTGGCTTTAAATTGAACAATAATGAAGTACAAACATTGAATAATAATGTAGGCAATTTAATATCGATTAACGGTTTTCTCTCAACAAGTCGTCTTCGGACGGTAGCATTGGATTTTGCTAAAAAACCAACAAAACGTAAAGTAGAATAAGTTCTATTTGAAATTGATGTTGATACAACAGAAACAGATGAAATTGTTTTAGCTGATATTATGGAACATAGTCAATACAAGGATGAACAAGAAGTTCTGTTTGATCTAGGTATGCAAAACCGAAGATTAAGAAAGAAGGGCTCTTTTCTACTTGATCTCTGATTATAGGTGATGCATTTAAAATCAATAGTTGTTCATATGACAACCTCAATGAAATATGGTTGATTCGAACAACAGCCACAAATGAAGGAGCTGAACTGGCCTCGGGCTATATTGAATATCAGAAGGAGAAAATTATACATTCTGATTCGGTTCTAATGTATGGTCATCTATTGGTTGATATGGGTCAATTTGAAAAATCACAAAAATATTTTGAAAATATTCTTCGACGACGTCCTAATGATGAAGAAGTTGCATGTATCTACCATACTATCGGTCGATCATGTCGATTAAAATGTGATTACGATCGAGCATAAATATACTATTAACATTCATACAATATACATATTCAAGCGTATCCACAACGATCAAGGAGTGCAGCCAAATCCTTAAATGGAATGGGAATGGTCTATAATGAACAGAAAAAATACGATTTGTCAATTGAATATTTGTTAAAAGCTTTGCATATGTATGAAAAATGTTTGCCATCCGAACATTCTGACATTGCTGGAACATTGAATAATTTGGTAAATGTTTATCGAGATAAGGACCAATTTGATTTGGCCTTATCATATTTAAAACGTGCAGAAAAGATTTATGAGCGCATTCTCCCTAATCAACATCCCTCGATTGCTACAGTCCTAAATAATACTGCTAATGTTTATTACAAACAACATGATTACGAACAAGCCTTGCAGTGTCATATGAAAGTTTTAAATATAAGAGAAAATCATTACCAACAGATAATATTGATTTGATACGATCCCTCGATAATATTGGTCTCGTTTATTATCAACTATCGAATTTCAATCAAGCACTAGAGTATTTTCAAAAAGCATTTAATACGGCAAAAGGAACGTTAGCATCAACGGATATTTTACTAACACAAATCAATCAGCATATTAATTTTATTGACCCAGAAGGAGAAGAAATCGAAATTAAACGATTTTGAGTAATTTTGTTTACAATTTAATTGGGCCTAAAAACCATTGGTCTCACATAAATATAAAGAAACATTGCAAACATAGCTGTGAAATCAAAAGTAAAAAAAAGGGAGTATCGGTAATGACTAATGCGTCAAAAAAGGTATAGGTATACGTACAGTATCATGAGATATTACTACATCGTTAACACGGGCAATGTTTTTTGTCTCTTTCTACCTCATTCTGCTTGGTTTTTTCCTTGTTCATAAAGCAACATAAATTAAATAGTCAAAAAATATAATGCATTCGCGTTTCTTAGTTTAAACTATGTTTTGGATATTCATTTTCACTCAATCCTGGACAATTTACAATGAAAGAACATGGACTTACAGTTCTAATGGCTACATCAATTTATTCATCGTTTGCTCTTAATTCGATTGATAGTCAACGAATATTTTACAACAGATCTGTGAATCCTATAGCTGCCATTATTTTTATAGTTTCTATACAATTAATTTGTTTAAGTATTCCTGGTATAATGCGTCGTTTCTTAGTATGGCCTTCAGCAATGATGTGGCCGGCGAACTTTCCCTATATAATTCTTCTTCGTACCTTGCACGAAAAATCAACTGTTGATGGACACTTAGCTTACAACTCAAGATGGGACATTAGTCGTTTCAAATTTTTTCTCATTGCTTCTATGTGTCAATTCATTTATTACTGGCTTACTTTTCACCCTCACCTTTACAGAGTTTGTGCTTTGATCGGAAGATAGATCGAAAAAGGCGATTTTGGAAAAAAATCTCCACCCCATCACCCTCAAAAATACCTACTGAAAAAGTCGTCTTGATTTCTGCTCTTAAAGGTTTCTTTAATCCATTCGAAAGAAACTCTGTGAAGAAAAAGCCTCTTAAAGATATTCCTCTTACAAAATCCTGCTTAAATAAATTGTTTAATCATAGCGTCTTGAAAAATATACTAAAACAGGTCGATTTTGTTTCTTACATTAAGAGACTTTTATTATTGCAGGATAGATGCAAAAAAGTAAAAAAGCAATGTGTGCCTACGAGAACTGAACTCGACCACTTTGTATCAGAATATATCATATATTACATAGAATTACATATACTTACGAAGTATCACCAACTAGACTATCCAGGGGCGACAGAACGGTTTGAAAGCTGTGGGAGAGAACTTTTTTTCCTGTAAAGTCAACGAAAACTACTTAGGGCTATCCAAAAGTAGTGAGGGAGGTACTATTTTTTCATATAGAAAGCTTGAAAAATGTTTCTTTTTTTATGAACAGATAGAGCGTCTTTCGCTCTATTTTTCTATGCTATTTGATCACTATTCAACTAATATAATAATAATAAAATTTCGATAAGATCTATTTC